ACTTACATTGCCAGTGTTAACAAAAGTTGAACATCCTGCATTTGCAATATTTACTTCTTGGCTATTGTTATCAACATGAATTAGATCAAATGAACTGAAATCTATAATTTGATTAATATATCTTTTCTAGATTTTGTTCAGTGACAGAACATAAACCAAATAACTTTTAGGTCCTATTTTATTTTTAATAACCGCTTTAACCCAATTTCGCTTATTTACTAACCTATAATCCCTTACAGCTTCATTTTCATTAACACTATATATCCTGTTCATTTTTCTCCTGTAAAATTTAATCTGTGCTTTTTGTTTCTTTTCAACATTTTCCTTAATCTCCTCTAGTTTATCACTATTTTTAAAACTAATATTTACTTGATTATTTACAAAGACCCGTGCTGTGCGGATATTCCTATTAAACATCATATTATTGGCAGGTGGAACTCCCATAGTACAGTGAGGAGTTACCCTATACGACAATAAAAATTTATTTCATTTACAAAGCCCTTTTTGACAGATTTGAGTAAAGCATGTTTAACAGAATTCTCTGCTTGTCCATTGGAAGCTGGATGAAATGGGGCAATATCTTTAAACTCTATATTATTTTTTGACAAAACACGTTTGAAATTCATTTTACTTAAAATTAGAGGCATTGTCTGAAACTAATTTAAAAGTTAATCCGAACCTAGCAAAAATTTCTCGTAACACCGTAATGGTAGTGACTGACTTGGTGTTGACGGTAAGTATGACTTCCAACCACTTACTATGAACATATAATATAACTAAAATATAATATTTCTAAAATATTGGCCCCAAATAGTCTATGTGAATCCGATCTCATGGCCTTTCTGGATATTCCCAAGTCATTAGCGATGTTTTAACCGGAAAATTCTACATTTTCATGCAAATACCACATGCTTTAATCAAATTCTCTATATCTAAATTCAATTGAGATCACCATACATATGATCTGGCCAAACTTTTTGTCTTTACCATACTCAAATGCGTAGAGTGAAGTTGTTTTAGAAATTTCATTCTGAGAACAAAAGGGACTAAGACTTTATGGCCCAGCATCAAACAACCATCTACAAAACTAAATTGGCTTTTAAACTGTTGATACGGTTTTAATTCTAGTTCAATTGTATTGGGCCAACCCAGTTTAACATATGAAATGACTTTACTTAAAATAGGGTCTCTAGTAGTCTCTGTTTGAACTTGGGCCCAGTCAACAGGTAGATCCTGATTAGAAACGATGAAATTAAAATAGCCCATATCTATTTCTTCATTATCAGATGATTGCTCCTTAAAAGGTAATCGCGACAAGCAATCTGCTTTATTGTCTTTCGATTTCACATATTTTATATCATAAACAAAATTCATTAAGATTAATGCCCAACGTTGCAACCTGTATGCCGCTAATATGGGAATACCCTTTTTATCCCCAAATATACTGATTAAACATTTTACATCTGTGCATAAAATGAATTTTTTTTGCATATAAATATTGATAGAATTTTTTACAAGCAAAAATTATTGCATTAGCCTCCTTCTCTACTTGTGAATACTTGATTTTTGTTGAGTGTTTGTGAAGCGAATGCAGTAGGTCTTCCATCATTCTTACAGAAAACATGCAATAGTACAACCCCCACTCCATAAAATGAACTGTCAACTATGAGTTTTATTTTTATACTTGGATCAAAATGAGTTAGTATTGGTGCAGTACTTGAAATATCTTTTATTTTTATAAAAGATTAATTACAATTTGTATCCCATTGAAATTTGACATCTTTTTTTAGTAAATTGTGAAGTGGGTGTAATACTGTTGCAGCGTTAGGTATAAATTTATTGTAAAAATTGACTAGACCTAAGAAAGATTTAACTTGTGTAACATTATCTGGGATTAGTGCCTCCTTAATGGCTCTAATTTTATCACCACATGTATGCAACTCATTTTTATCTATTTTATACCCTAAATAAGTAACCGACTCTTTAAAAAATTCATATTTACTTAATTTAACTGTAAATCCCTTTTTCTCTAATTTATCCAAAACTTCATAAACCCTCTTTAAGTGTTCTTTTCTATTTTTTTACCGGTAATTAGGACATCATCCAGAAAACATACTACCCGTTCGCTTTCTACCAATACTTGCTCCATTATACGCTGAAAAATGGCAGGAACACTTGCAATACCAAAAGGGAGCCTATTGTAGACAAATAAACCTTTATGAGTGTTTATTGCTGTTAACAATTTTGAATCTTTATCTAGTTGATAATCTTGTGATAAATCTATTTTGGTGAATTCTACACCACCTTGCAAATTTGAAAAAAGTTCCTCAATGCGGGGTAGTGGATATTTATCTATCAGTTAAACTGGGTTAAGAGTAATTTTATAGTCACCACATAAGCGTACTCCGCCTCCTTTTTTTACTACTGGAACAATGGGTGTACTAAACTCGCTGAATGATACTGGGCTGATTATATTCTCGTAAGTCTCTCGAGTTCTGCTTCAATTCCTTCTCTCAATGCAAAGGGTATTGAATGACTTTTGAAAAGACGTGGTATTGTTCCTTCTTTAATCCGTAGTTTGGTGCCTCTATTCCATTTACCTAATCTAGAAAAAAAAAAAACTTTAGTAAAACTATTTTCTTTTTTTTTACGTTTATTACATCATTAGATGTCTTAATTAAAATGCTATTTATAGTCAACATGAACAATTTAAAAAAGTCCTGACCTAACAGTGGTGGGCCCCCATCTTCAATAATATATAGTTTGAGAATATTTTTCTGGTCTTTGAACTCTACGTTAACCAAAATATAACCTAATAGATAAATACTATTACCATTATAAGTAACTAAACATTTTTGGTATGTGCTACCAGTATTTCTAAAAAGTATTTTTCATAAAAGTGTTCTGATATTACACATACAGCTCAAATTCTAAATGTTCTGCATTAACCAAAATTCTAATTAGCACTTCGTTTTTACTACCTAAATTCAAATTAAACATATTATGATTGTCAGAGTCATCTAATGTATTTACATATTCGTTAGTATTTGGCATCTCTAAAAAACTATTTCTATATTTATGACAAACTTTAGCAATGTGTCCTTTAATTTTACATATGTTGCAAAAATAAACACTTATCTTTGCAATGATTAGATCTTCCTTAGACCTCACATGATCTATTTCTCTTGTTTACGTTGTCAGCTGTCGAAGACGTCCACGTCTCCTTTTTCCTGAAGTAGTCATTCGCTGTCGACGTCGATGGCCCACCGGTCAGGTGCGACCTCGGTATCCAGCCACTACTACTAGCGCCATCTATCGCTGATTTTGGAAAACTTCCGATATTTCGTTGTTTGTTATAGTTTTTTGAATCTTGATAAAAAACTTCACTTTTCCCGATGTTTTTTACAGAGTTTTTATCCACTTGGCTTTTATCAACTTCGACCGCTTTCTCAAATGAAGAATCTATTTTTTCTTCAAATAGTCTCTGCATGATTTTTGAGTCTTCAATTCCTGTAATGATTTTTTCTCTTAAAACGATCATTAATTCGACTCCAAATTCACATTTTATCGCTAATTGCCTTACTTTCGCGGCCCACTCCGAAATAAATTCTTCGGTATGTTTCTTTGCACTATAAAATTTAAGTCTCTCGTGAAAAGCACTAGAAGATGTGGATTTAAAATAAGTGTCACACAATGCTATTAGTTGAGTATAGGATTTTTCCTCTGGATTTGTTGGAAACGACGGTTATACTACAATTATTGAAAATATGAATAATTTGAATACCTACTAGTTTTATTATAGAACTTAAGTCAGTTTCAATTGCAATTTATTTGGCGGCCTGATTAAAGAGAAGCTTCTTGCGTATTATACAATCTAATATCCCAATAATAATTGAAAATCTTAAAACGGCTATATCTCATAAACCAAAGATGATATCACCAAATGCTTAAAGCTGGTTCTAAGATACGAAAAGGGATTTTAAATAACAAAATACTTAAGTCACTTCCCGTCAACTCCCTATGCATCATCTACTTCTGCAAAAATAAATAAATAAACAAGTATAAAAAAATGTATAAAAAACCAACTATAAAATTGAACAGAGTTTTTTTATTTTCCCATAGACCATCAGATCCTGACGTATTGTATATGGGAACACTCCTCTTTCTAACATAAAAATCAGACATTGTTGTAAAGAATTATTATCGCTACAAACAAAATAGGGTTGAACCATGTTAATAATAGGTATTCCCTATTTAATTACATAAATAATTAAACAAACAAAAAATAAACAGTTTTTACAAAAAAAAATAGCTGCAACCAGCCAACCACGAAGCACTTTTATAAATGAAACAAATTTGCGAACCCTCTCTATAAATATCGTCAAACGGAAATGTGATGTTGCGAGAAATAAAATTTCTTCCGATAATTTAAAGACAGACAGTATTGCAAGATAATCTGTTTACATTACTACTGTTAATCGGAATATTGTATTTCTGCCAAAGACGCCAACGTGTTGGCTTCAGAAATTTTGTAAATAATCTTAGTTATACATTTATGATTACAGTCACGTTTAAAATACAGTGGTCTTGGATACGGTATATGAAAAAAAGTGAATTTAAAATTAATTAAACGTATTATTCAAATAATTTGTCTTTTTATGTAATCAAAGTAATATTGAAGCTGTATGACTATAATTATAAGTTTGTGTATATTTGTAAATACTAATATTTCATTAAATAAATGTGATTGTGCTATTACTAACCAAAATAACTACAGAAGTCAATTATAAGAATATCCGTTAGCAGTAGAAAAACTTCTATAATATTCTATTTATCATCTAATTAATTAGTTTTATGCTTAAGGATTATACTATGATTGACATTATGAGTGTAAGTGTAAATAACTTTAGGTACATATGCTTTTCTAATCCTATTGCTAACCTAACACTAATCACGAGCAATAATTTCGTGTTTAAATTTTATATATTTATATTTTTCAGGATGTACAATAAATCCATTTGCAACGAACGCTCCTCTAATAATAAGACCAGAAAATACCACCGTTATTTACCCAAAACATGGAGAAAGGACAATCAAATTTAAAGTAGGAGAAACAGTGGAATTCGCCTGTCCTCAAAGACAGGTCGTCGTCGATGGTACCTCTTCAACATCCTTGGTACAGGCTACGTGCATCTCCAACACCAGATTCACAGTAAACGGCCAAAGATTTATATGGAGCCAAATTTCCTGTAGCGCCAATCCTGTAGCTAGGGGAAGATTCTTGAATTCCAATTGTGGAACAAACGCAAGATTGGCCGAAATAGGATTCCAATTGGATAACAACCGATTTTTGCGCACCATTACCATTTGCTTTGATACGGTCAATCAAACTTCGCTATACTCTTACTACGATTTAACGTCTTCTGTAAGATCAAGTGATACCACGACACCGCGTCCTAACTTTGCACAGGATACCGGTTTTTATAATACTGGAAACAGGAATGTTAACCAATTATACGTAAGAGGTACCCAGAGATCGACCATTAATCGTTTGATTGGACTTGCAGCTAAAAACACTAAATATATACAAAACGGATTGACACACTTTTTGTCTAGAGGTCACTTAACTGCTAGGGCGGACTTTATCTATGGAGCCCTTCAAAACGCTACATTCAGATATATTAACGCGGCACCTCAGTGGCAAGGGTTCAATATGAACAACTGGAACCAAGTCGAAACTGATACCAGAAACTATGCCCACAATAGAAATGTAGATTTACAGGTGTGGACTGGAACCTACGGCGTGGCAACTTTACCTGATGAAACTTCTGGTGAAGATATACCGCTAAGTTTGTATGTCAATGGAAATAAAAGAGGAATTCCAGTGCCAGCTATTTACTGGAAGATTGTTTACAATCCTACTAATAAACGAGGAATCGTTCTTATTGGTTTGAATAATCTTTATGAAAAGAATGTGTCTAAACATGTTATTTGTCAAGATATATCCAATCAAGTGAATTGGCTTAATTGGAGAAAAAACGACATTGATAGAGGATATTCTTATGCATGTACTGTTTCTAGCTTTAGGAAAGTTGTAACTTATGCTCCCAATCTTAATGTTGCTGGTTTGTTAACATGATCCCTCATATTATTAAGTCCGTAGTGTGTTTGTAAAATAAATGAAGTGATTTTATATGAGTGTATTATTCTCAAACAACAGTTTTACCAGTGTCTTTAGATATTTTAAATGTCTAATGCATTATTTAAGTAAGTACGTTAACAGTAACATCCAAAATTCCTACTTTGATACCGCAATAAGTATTTCATAAAAGAAAGATTAATTTAACTCAAAGCCAGTCTCATTCAAAACACTCTGCATAAATTGAATCATTCATATCATCAATACACGTCAGATTAGTAGGATTTTATTAAACAAACTATAAAAAGACACCACAAGAGAAATAAAAATTAAGCTTCATTATATTATGCCTCAATACAATACAATTCAAAAAAGGAGTCGCTCATGATCGTATGTCAATATGTTGCCTCCCAATGATATTATCAGGATATTATAACCTAACTTTGTCACAATTGATATTGGAATATATGTGTTAATAAGTATCTTAACAACAATATTTATTGTAATTTTTGGTCATAAACTACTCGTTTACTTCTGACCATATTCACTAAAAAAACCACAAGATAAGACATGGAAACGTTTCATCTAAATTATAATCTAGTTATATTTTTGTTTATTTAAGAGTTTTCTTCATTTGGTTTTCTCCACTATGGCCAACCAATTTCCTGGAGATGGTCTGTTTATCACCATGCTAGTCTTTTGTATGGATTAAGACGGGCATTTATTTTGTCGATTTCTCCTCTTGGTCTTTTTTTGGTTGGTGTTACTGCCAATTTATTTCTTTTGATTACCCATGGATTTGATATTACACAAATCGATAATAATAATAAAATAATAATAATAATATTCGACAATCTACAAAAAATTTTTTACCTCATGCCATTTGTTGAGGCCAATACTCATTTTAAAGGTATTTAAATATTCATTACATATCACATAATATCACATATTTGAGTTAACTACTTTTTTTTTGTGTCATCGGCATCGACTTCTACGATTAGCTTCGTGTTCTGTGTAGGATTTGTTGTTGTTAAAAGTTACTTTAATACATTTTTATTTTCTTTAACCACAATCAAATTGTTTATTTTAATAATATCTTTAATATTTTCTTAATTTTATTGTTTGTAAATTTTATGAAATCACCTAAAACTCATAGGTTTTTATTTTTCTACTACTTAATTAATTGTTAAAATTTATTATATGCTTAAAAATGGCCCTGTAGCCGAAAAGGGATCTCCTGATTTTGTTAAAATATGTGTGGGGTAGATTTTGTTTAATTTGTCGTATTGAAGATATTGGAGAGGTTGAATTCCCTCAGTTTGTTTAAATGCCTGATTGCACAATAATTTGTATATTTGAATTTTCGTTTTACAAAAAGAGGATGGTTTGAGATGCTAAATACGTTTTTTGATTGAATAATGAATGCTTCCACCAGAATCAAATTCTGAAGTTTAATAAAATTGTTAAAAACACCCAACGTTGCATTCTTTTTTTGGTTATATCAATAAATTTTTTTTTGTAAAAAAAAATAATAAAATAGGTATATAAATCATTGTGTCTTAGGTACAGTCGAATCGGGTAACTTTTGGACCATGTTTTTATTATAAATCTGATTTTATTTGTTATTGTTGCACAATTATATTGAATGATGCACCTACTGGTGTTCCTGTAAAATGGTCTATATGAATTTTAAATTAAAAAAAAATAAAATTTATTGTAAATATGAACAAAATATATTTTTGGGTGTGGTCCAAAGTTATATCGGATTTGGGGTAACATTGACCAAAGTATTTTCACCGAGAAAAATTACTGATTTCTTACAATTTAAAGGCTACGGGTAAGAATAAACCATATTAGTTTTAATGTAGAGACCCCAGGTCAGTTATTAGTTATAATTAATTTGTATTTAAGTTTTTATTTTTTTTACAGACAAGGTTGAAGTTGTAATTAATAAATTAATTAATTAATGTTGCCCCATTGGTCCAAAGTTACCCGATTTGACTGTAATTAAAGCAAAATCAAAATTGAAAAATTCTATTATTTTCGTAGTGAAGGCATAAATAGGCCTTTAATTAAATTTAGTTTAAAATCAGCAATACTTTGTAGGACTAAAAATAAATGTGATCGAGAGTAAAAAATTTTTTATTAAAGTATAAAATAAACACATTACGTATGTTAAAATATTAAAAACATAACAAACATAATTATACTTTAATATTATTGCCCTTCCGATGACTGCGAATAATGGCCACAATATATCCCCTATAGTAGTGCATCTCACTTGTTAAAGAGTTGGCACTAAGTTTGCAGCGCAAGAATGCGTCTGTGTCTGGCCGCTCAACTAACACGATATGGCGGTAAATTCAAATATAATTTAAAGGCGAAATTTAAATTTCCCGCCAAAATTGTAAATTTTCAGCCGCGGAATGGCGGGAATTTTTAAATATATTCATTCGGCAATAATTATTGAGAAGTATATTGCATGTTCGATTAAACGAGCTGTAAATCCAGGCGCTATTTTTATTTTGATAGCTAAAAATAATACTAATTCTTTTATTATTAGCTATTACAATAAGAGCAGCATTTGGATTAACAACACATTTAAAAGAACATGTAATATACTTTTCAATTTTACCTAAATCACTTATTTTTTACCTATAGAGGTTAGATCTGAAAAAAAATTGGCTCTGGTAAAAAAATCAAAAAATTGTATAAAGTATTTTATTTGAAAAATTATAAAACTTATTTAATATATTTTAAAGACGAAGATAACTCTAGCCATATCCATTTTACTGAAAAAAAAAAAGAAACTATTAAATGAAATCATTTAGTTATTAAGAGATGTTTGTGATAATACAGTGGCAGCTATCGAATGTTGTACAATACGTTTTGCTAATGTCCAAGTAAAAACTACAAAGAGTTAGCATTAGTGGGAGAAGGAATAGAATACTATGAACGTAGCCAGCTGGCTACGTGGGGATGCATCACACCGTGTGCCTGTTCATATTACACAGCACACAAGGCAACATTCATATTATTCGTTTCCTGATCGAACTAATGCGCTAACTCTTTAGTTTTATTTTCGATTCTAGCCAAGCGTATTGGAAAGTGTTCATTAGCCGATACTGTATATAAATGCTAAAATCAATAAGTGAAATAAAAAAATTTAGTTTAGATGGACATCTACTTCAAAAAAAGTAAATTATTATACTTGAATTTTAAAGGCTGTTGCCACTGGAAAACTATTATCTAGGGCTTGGATGACAGCCATAGGACTCCCTCCTTGAATCGTGTCCATAGGAAAGCATAAGATCATAGTTAAATTATAATATTAAGAGGGTAGGTATTAACTGAAAAAATATGAAAAATTATTACAAACTTACCTCAAAATTGGCACCTACATTAAAAGAAGGGAAAACGGAAACATAAAATTGTTATACTTGAATTTTAAAGGCTTTTCCCACTGGAACAGTATTATCTAGGGCGCAGACCCTTGGATGACAGCCATAGATAGCAATCCCTCCTTGATTCCTCTTTTTCTGAGTTTGTTGTACGTTTTGTTTCCCATATTAAATAAGAAAGCACTTAATACAACAACAAATCACAATAAATATCGCTGAAACAAAATTAATATTAAATTTCGTAGAAGAAAAAATTATCACTTGTCAACACTGACATTTCACGCTTCACTTATAAAAACTCAACGCTAAAGAATGAAAGATGATTCGAAATAGGAATTATTAACTGGTATCTCTTTCTTTTATAAGTATCTAAACAAAGAGAAGGAGTGGGAGTGAGTAACGCTCCGATCAGATTGTTTTGAATTCGTCGTCAACCAATGAACGTGCCGATGTCAAAAATCAATAACGATACTAGCGCCATGAGACCTGTGTCTGGCCGCAGCGTAACTCAAAGCCATTTCTTGAATCCCAGTTACATTACTATAGGGGATATATTGTGATAATGGCTCGCAAAATTTTTTGCCCGCTATTTGTAGTTGGGTATAAAGAAGGGGGTAGACAAGTTGTACTATTCCCAGGCGGCAAAAGCTGTCGTGTTACCTAGGAAATTCAAAGTAATTATATAGGGCGATTCACCGCATATTGTACGTAACTTGGTGTCTAAACTAACAATTTTGAAACATGTAACTCAAGAGGTACATTTCAATATTTATTTTTATATATTTAAAATATATCAAAAAAAATATCACATTTTATGAATGTCTTATATTTTTATGCATTTATAGACTATAAAAACAGGTTTTTTTATGTTTAACACTCAAGGTTAAAATTTGTTACTATGACCACTACAGATAATAATAATTTTTGATGATAAATGCAATTAAATTTGGATAGTACATAAAAAAATATAACTTTGATATGCCACACTTTTTTGGGCATTATTTATATTTCAAAATAATTTTAAAATGTAGTTCTTATTGGCTTACAAGCAGCCATAGAAAAACATCAATTGTTATAGTTTATGCATCAAATTCGGTGCCGTTTATTGTACATTATCCTTTATGAAGATATTTTCCTGAAACAACAAATCATACTCTTTTTCTATTATTAAATATGCTAATTTCCACTCTAACAAAAAATTATATAATTCACTGTTTCTGTTTTCATAAAATTCGAAACCCTCATTTACATTACAATCCATTTTAAACAATAACTACATAGTTAACTTTAAAATGCACTGGCGATATATGTACTTTATTCCCTGTTTGTCTGAATTTATTCTTAGACGAGCTTTAAAAGTAGGGATATAACACTAAAAAATCGTTATAAAAACTTCAAATCAAGAAGTGTTTTTATTAATTTAAACACGGTATTTTTCAATTTAAGAAACCCTCATACTTATTTTTAGCTTAAGCGTTCTTAAAAAATTCTTAAGAAAAATAGAGTTTTAGATACTTTAAATCAAGAAGTTTTACTATCTATTTAAGTACAGTACTTTTAATTCAAGAATCCCAAATTTATTTAAAGCATGGGTGTTCTTAAAAAAATCTTAGGTGAAGCCGGTTATGCATACTTAAAATCAAGAAGTTTTATTCTTAATTTAAACACGGTACTTTTTAATTTAAGGCTTCGATCACATTAGGAGCACGCTTGTGCAAGTAATTTGGAGGCGCGCGCGTGCGCAAGTTGGCGTAAACAGCAATGTGCTCACACTAAATGCAAGCAGGTGCAAGTTAATTATTATAAACAGGTCAGTCAAAATAGAGATGTCAGACGATGAGGACATTGTTTTGGAAAATGTTGTTTTAAAGTTATTATTTTTGGATGCGCAGGAAATCAGGGAAGAGTGAGTTAACGAGTAGTTTTTAGACAGAAAGGAAGATGGAGAGAATGCACGAATATTTAACGGTTTGCTTAGACAGCCCAATAAGGTTTTTGAATACTTTAGAATGATGCCAGACACGGCATCAATAAGCGTTTCCGTATTCATCATATACTCGTAAACACAAATCAGGAGCTCCACAACACTACACTATCACTTCCTCGATGGTCAGAAATCAACTGAAATTGCGCACGTTTGCAATTAAAAAAAAAAAAATTTGTTTCGGATCAAGCTTGCACAAGCGTGCACTTGCTTGTTGTGTGCAGTGTGAGCAGTGATGGACAAGTATCATTTGTTTCTGTCGCTCTCCTGAGGATTTTGTTTCTATGTGTACGCTTGCGCACGCGCACGCCACCACATTACTTCTACAAGCGTGCCTCTACTGTAATCGAAACCTAAGAAACCCCAATACAGTCTGTTCGCTATACTTACGCGGGTTTCGGATTAAAAATTTTATGAGTATTTCCAGGTAAGTACCCGAAACTTTGACCTGTTATTTGGGGAAATATCAACTAGTTAAATGAAATAAAAAATAATGTACAACTTTTTAATTAAATAATAATGGAAAATCTTTTGTATAATTGAGAACAGAATTAAACTTCTTCATTAATGGAGTCTAATGTGGCTATTATAAACCTAATAATAATTTTATATTACACTTCACACAGAAAATATGGTCTGTGTATAATAAGAGGGTTATTTAGCTATTATGAGTATGGGCAAATTCTTAAGCAAAAGACGGTTATCCATACTTATAATAAGAAGTTTCTTTCTAATTTTACTCTCGTTACTTCTTAATCGAAGAAAATCTCTTTTCTAATTTAAGTATGGCAATTCTTTAAAACATTTTAAACAAAAGAATAATGAAACAAGTAGTTCTATTCACCGTTTAATTACATTATTTCTAAATTTAAGAACGTTTTAATCTTAACTATTGGATGTCATATTTAATTTAACATTAGGATTATTAATTTAAATACCTTTCCAGTTTAATCTAAAAACTCATGCCAAAAAATCTTGATTTTGAAATTGGCAACGTTCGCGCGTATTTATAGCTTTTAATTCAAAAACTAAACATGAAAATGTTCATTTTAAAATGCCTGTATTCAAGTTACTTCGATTAAGAATTAGTGTCGTGCTGAATTTAAAATACGTATTCTTCATTAGCTACATTCTAAGATAAATTTCTCTTTGTGCATCACCCTACAGTGTGCTGCAGAGGTCATAAGTAAAAGTACAAATAAAATAAAAGAAAAAGTCTAAAATTGTCTGTAGGGCGGAATATTCCGGGTCTAGAAACATCTAGAAGTTTCCAGAAAATCAAGAAGCTTTAAGATTGCCGTTATGTGTTAATGTAATAGTTGTATTGTAAAAGTTTGTGTTTGGAAATAAATCGAGTTTACAATATTTTCACATTTACGGCGGTTCTTACATGAAAACCTAACAATTACAAACGAGGGAAAAGTTTGGCGCCCTTCTTTACGATGTGGCAAGGGTGGCTTTGAGGAAAATTGAGAGAGCTGGAAGTGGGAGAAGGATGCGTAAATACCGGCGAGAGTCAAAATCTGATGACTTCAAATCTGAAAATTTTACTTGGGTAAGTGTGCTTGGGTGTGCTTTAGTGGTCCAATTGGTGGGGGCGCAAAAGGCTTAACTCAATGATTCCATGTTCGATCTCTGGCCGATGCACTCATTTTTCTCTTCTTTATTTCTCAGCTTTTAGAATGCTTTTACTTTGGGAATGTGGGAATATATTTTTTAATTTTGTTCGGGAATTGGGTATTTTATTTTCATATTTCCAAAACTACATATTATTATAATAGTAATAGCAAACGACCAATGACTCAAGGGCGGCTCAAAGACGAATTTCTGGATGGGAAAGGGGGCATTGCCTTTAGCCATTCCCTTTTTAGCATATTTTTTTGAATAAAAGGCCTATAAATCGTAAAAATTTTTACCGCAAGGGTGCCATGGCCCCCATCCCTCCCTGGAGCCGCCCTTGCAATGACTAAATTATTGAAAAATAAAAAAAAATCTGTTTGACTGCATAACTATCAACGATTGTAAATCGAAAAATCGAAAAATCGAAAAATCGAAAAATCGAAAAATCGAAAAATCGAAAAATCGAAAAATCGAAAAATCGAAAAATCGAAAAATCGAAAAATCGAAAAATCGAAAAATCGAAAAATCGAAAAATCGAAAAATCGAAAAATCGAAAAATCGAAAAATCGAAAAATCGAAAAATCGAAAAATCGAAAAATCGAAAAATCGAAAAATCGAAAAATCGAAAAATCGAAAAATCGAAAAATCGAAAAATCGAAAAATCGAAAAATCGAAAAATCGAAAAATCGAAAAATCGAAAAATCGAAAAATCGATAAATCGAAAAATCGAAAAATCGAAAAATCGAAAAATCGAAAAATCGAAAAATCGAAAAATCGAAAAATCGAAAAATCGAAAAATCGAAAAATCGAAAAATCGAAAAATCGAAAAATCGAAAAATCGAAAAATCGAAAAATCGAAAAATCGAAAAATCGAAAAATCGAAAAATCGAAAAATCGAAAAATCGAAAAATCTAAAAATCGAAAAATCGAAAAATCGAAAAATCGAAAAATCGAAAAATCGAAAAATCGAAAAATCGTAAAATCGAAAAATCAAAAAATCGAAAAATCGAAAAATCGAAAATTCGAAAAATCAAAAAAATCAAAAAAATCGAAAAATCGAAAAATCGAAAAATCGAAAAATCGAAAAATCGAAAAATCGAAAAATCGAAAAATCGAAAATTCGAAAAATCAAAAAAATCGAAAAATCGAAAAATCGAAAAATCGAAAAATCGAAAAATCGAAAAATCGAAAAATCGAAAAATCGAAAAATCGAAAAATCGAAAAATCGAAAAATGAACATTCTTTTTTAACGACGCTTGTTCACTAGTTCTCCATTCTCCCCTTAAGCACTTGCTCGATATCGGATGCACAGAATTCTTATCTTGTTAATTGTCGACCGTTGTCAGTCGTTTTGTTTACGTCATAGGATTTTATATACAAATAAAATTAAACCCTTAGAAATAAAACTCCATTTAATAAACCTTTGAATGAAATTGACAGCATACAATGACAATTGACTACTATCTAGGCAAATGACATGAGATGCGTTTATTTTATTCGCAAGAACGAATATAAAACACTACGGTCTGCTGTAAGAATGTTCCGTAGAGGTTCTCTGTTTAACAAATTTGATTTTCTGTACCTTCTTTCAGATTTTAAAGTACCAAGTTGTTATCTTAGTACACTACAAATAATTTTTTTTTTAAAAAAAAAAACCTTTTCCTACTACTGTGCGTAAAGTACATACTTTACTTTTTTTTACTAGTACGTAAAGTAAAAAAAAGTAACTTTTATATATCTATTATTCTAAAAATATTGTTTGCAACTCGTGTCGAAAGTATACTCTTTTTTGACGAATGGCAATGCTGTCGCACGAGCCGTAGGCGGGTACGACAATTACATCACTATTTTAAGCTATTGTTATTTGTGTACTACATGTATTGTTCCTATTACAACAACTCTTTTTCAGACTGCTTAATCGACATAACCAAACTAGATGAAAAACATCCATTATTTCTTACCAGCAACACACATGACATAATCTATCCAGAACCAGAAACACAAACGCTCTCCTTTAAAGCAAATGAAAATTTTAACCTAGACTGTCCAGGAACGGGTAAAGTAGAAGCAGCAGGTGCAACTTTTGACAGAACCGTCTCAGCAACATGCGTATCAGACGGATATGTAGGAATCGAAAACGAAAAATACAACGTTTCCAACGTAGTTTGCTCGAGGAGAATAACCAGTGTTGCTAGGTTCACTTCTAATATTTGTTGGAAACATTACAGAGAAATAGAAGTAGGATTAGAGTTACCCGGAAAGAAGTTCAAGCAATTATATACTACTTGTTACGATGACGAAACAAAAAATATTGTTTATTCAACTTTTCAATTGACTAAGGAAATTGATTATCAAACGTCAGGAAATAGTAGGCCTGGATGGACAGAAGGAAAATTCTATAACTTATCTACTAAGTTAAATCAATTATATACCAATCCTGTTCAAAGGAAAACTATCAATAGACAAATTGGGTTGTCTGATGATGATACAACTTACGTTAAATCAACTGGTAAGTAATTGATAGAATCTTAATTAATTCTGTTTGAATTTTTAAGTTCGATGTTGGTATCATTTTAACAAGTCTAAAAAATATGTGTCCAAAAAAAAATAAAATAAGAAATGGCCGAAAAAACTGAAAGTTTTTGTGTTGTTTAAAATCATATTTTTGTTATTCAAAATGCCTTTTAAAATACAAATACCGAGACAAATTGTGAGAAAGTCAATAAATTTTATTTTCAATTCATTTTCAAAATGTATATTACGTTTCGAAGATCCCCCGTAATTGTGTTTCCCAGGAATTACCGTTTTTAAAAAATTGCAAAAACCCTCGTAGGTTAAAATATTTCCGTATTTGCTGGAATCCGAATGGGCATTTGTAGATTAAATTTCATTTTTCTGTGTTCTGGAACTAGTGAACAGTTTTTTTTTACCTAAATTAGGTGTATAGTTTCTGAATTTTCACAAATATATACCTAAAGTAAGTAGATAATGAAAGCAATAACGAGGCTAAGCAGGTACAAAGATTTGCCTGCCTCGGAATAACGGGGGTAATGAGAACAACCCCCACAGCTGCAATGGAAGCACTAATAGGACTCCCACCTCTTCACTATGTGATACAAGGGGAGGCAAGATTACGTGCTTACAGATTAGGGAATACACTGGGAAATCTTGACATTAGGCCAGGTCACATTAGTATCTCAAGGTTAGTGACAGGAGACGTGCTAGACTTGAGATCAGACCACATAACCAAGAGGTACTCTTTTAATACTCCATTCGAGGTTTTAATATAGGAAAGAGCGAAGATCACCATAAGGGAGCCCAATGCCCAACGACAGGAAGAAACCTGGTATACAGACGGGTCTAAGACTGCGGAAGGCACTGGGGCAGGAGTATTCTCTAAAAACCCTGATACTAACCATAGCTATGCTATAAAAATACATTCCTCGGTATCTCAGGCCGAGGTATACGCAATTTTGCAATGTGCAAAAACAAACAATGAAAGAGCTGTCAAAAATCAGCATATTCAAATAAAGTTAGACAGCCAAGCGGCACTTAAGGCCATATCGAGTCAGAAAGTTACGTCGAGGCTGGTATGGGAATGCATCGAAGAACTAAGAACACTGGCAGACCGAAATAGAGTAAAACTATTTTGAGTGCCAGGTCACTAGGGGATCGAAGGCAACGAAAAGGCTGACGAACTTGCAAAAAGAGGGTCAGAAGAAACACCGGAACTAGACACAAACCCAGGAGTATCAAAAAGTAGAGTTCAGGGTTTCATAAACGACTGAATTCGGGAACAATATAATAAATATTGGGGAAGCACCCCAAAACAAGCACATGGAAAAGCCCTCACAGGCAGACCATATCCCAAAAGAACTGGAGAACTACTCTTTATGAATAGGAACCAGTTGAATGTGATAACAGGGTTCATGACTGGGCACGCCCCAGTAAAGGGACACTTGAACAAAATTGGCATGTACAATGAATAACTCATGTGCCGACTATGTCACAAGAAACCAGAAACGGCCAAACACATACGCGAATGCGAAGCTCTAGATCGCAAAAGACAGGCTCTTTTTGGACAACCCCAGGTTGATCCAACAACATATAGAACCCATTCACCCAAGGATCTGTACAAACTTGTACAAGGTACAAAGGTGATAGAGTGGGTGCTATGAACTAACATGGGGTAAAACATAATAAGCCAATAGGCTTCAGTGTTATTCGGAGACATATTCAGACGAGCCCAGGAGAAAAAAAAAGTAGATAACACGCATCGAGTAAAAATAAACGTATAATTACCAATTCTGTTTCTTTTGTATAACAAAATTAAGATATATATTTTCTTTTATATTTTTTGATAGTTTTTATGAGTAAAACGTAAAAAAAAAGTTTCTAGTAATAAAATAACTCTTGTGAAATGTTTTATTAATTACTAGCCCAATAGTTCCTAAAGTATTTAGAAATGAGTAAAGTTAAACAAAAATAAAATTAGAGGTTAGGTCAATTTACATTTAAATTATTTTCAAGATTGTATTCATTTAAACATTAAAAATTATTTTGTTAAATACCTTTGAAATATACCTAATTTTGACATATAAAGTAACAATCTTTGTAATTGCAGCAAGAATCAAAATGATCTACTTTACGCAACCAGTTGAAGGTTTATATCAAAGAAGGGCAGGTTGACTTAAAAAAAATAGAATTTGGTTAAGCTTACAACTTAGTAGTAATGTTATTTTGGTCCAAATCGGCACAAAATAATTGAAACACTTTTTTAAAGCTATTACTTAAATAAACAATATAAACACCCTGCAGTTCGTTGAGAATGAATAATTAGTAATTATGTTCTAATCGTGGTTGTAATTGTCAGTAAAATAATGCATATGCAGCTAACAATACAAGAAAGTAATATTGGTTACCTAAAGTCAGCAATGTTTAACCAAAACAGAATTTTAGTAAAATTTTAGTCAAAATTAGAAAAAATATTGTATGTAACTCTTTCATGTTGCGAGACCTCGCTCTGCTCGTCCCGTAAATGTTCGTTCGTTACTTAAAATAAAGCATATCGCCACTGGTAATATAAATACCTATTTTATGACCAGAAAAAAGTAATAAACAATATTTAAAAAAAAACTTAAAACAGCAGAAGGAGTAATAAATTATATGTCCAAATAGAAATATTTGTTTTTAGTGCTACCAAAATTATCTCACTCTAACATGGCGTATTCTTCAAACAAATGTGTGTTTTAGGTCACAATTTTCTAGCTAAAGGTCACTTGACTGCTAAGGCTGACTTTTTCTACAATGCTGAACAACAGTCGACGTTTTTCTATATTAATTCTGTACCTCAGTGGCAGACGTTTAACGGATATAATTGGTTCTACCTTGAAAGAGATTTGAGAAATTATGCTGCTAATAATTATGTGGAGTTAACCGTATACACTGGAACTTATGGTAAGATAATGGTGATGTAGTTATTAACTTCGGTAAGCCTCTTTTTACTTCGATTTGAGATATATAGGTATTTTTGTAATAGATTTGAAAAATTATGATGCTAATAGTTATGTGGAGTTAACTGTATACACTGGAACTTATGGTAAGATAGTGGTGCTGTGGTTATTAACTTCTCTTTTTAATTCGATTTGAGATACATAGGTATTTTTTTAGTAGGTGTCTATACTAGTTCGTTATTTCTCTCGTCCAACAGTCTTTCTTCGTCCACTTCCGGACATAGAAATATAATATACAAAATAGAACCCATATTTCCTTGTTTTCTTTCAGCAACTTTTTTTGACCTTAAATCTTGTGGTTTCATTATAAGGACCATCTTCGGCTCTCACTTCCTTATGCAGTCGGAGTTATATTTAGATAGTTTACAGCATACATATTACGTTTAATAAGTTTTAATTAAAATAGATTAATTTACAATTTAAATGGGTGATAAAAATTATAGTCCAGTTTTTGCTGCAAAATTATGGAAATAATTATTTTTTCATATATGATTGATTTCTTGATGTCGAATAATATCATACCAAAAATACACCATGGTTTTTTATCCACGTTTACCTACAGACTGCTTAAATGACCGAACTCTTTCTATTGATTAAAGTGAAGTAGTTATTTACTTATATTTCTCGAAGGTATTCGATCGTGATAAAAAAAATCGCCTTTTGGCCAAATTAGAAAACTCTATAATTCAGGAAACCCTACTGAAATGAATTCAGGCTTTCTCAACTAATAAAAAATTTACTATTTTAGTGGGTATAACATTGTCTAATCTTTACAACTCAGTAATTGGAATATTTTTGTAACTTATCTACACTTGCTACTTACTTTACTAGCATGCCTCATAGTGTTTATGCTAACGAAACTAAAATTTATGAAATCAATATCTTCTAATATAATTGTATTCAAAACGACCTATTCAGCATATGACTTTAGTGCTTCGAATGTTTTATAGCACTTAACCATTCTATATACACAATTTTATATATTGGTAGAAACAATCCTCATTTTGCATTGGTAGCAACAATGTCAAAGCAGTAACCCCACACATTCTTCTCTATGTAACCATTTTCTCTGAACTTTCTTGAAAGCAGTACGTCTTTCCAATTTCCATCGATTCCATTATTATTAAAACTATACTCTTATTCCTATAATTATACATAACTCATTGATCTAGTCACCCAAGCACTTTAGTCATATCAACATCGTTGAAAGATGCAAAGATGCAAGTGGAAGTACGTTCTTCGTCCACTATCGTACCACGAAAGACTTGAGAGAATACAAATACCCGCTCTAACAGGAAGAAGAATCAGGGTTTACCCTATCCAGGATTATCGAAAGATTTCTTACATATTTTCAACATTAATACCGATGAATGGCTTCGTGGACACGGCCTTAAGTTGATAAGAGAACATATTAAAACTGTGACAATACACTTTTTAACGAATAGGACATTTCACAAATGGAACGCTTTAATGGAGAACGTTGTATCAAGTGTAGCCACTACTTCCATCAACAACTTAAGAACAGATACCAATTGTCGACATTTATTTTTTATATAGTTTACAGTGTTTTTAGGTCTTTTTTGTTTTAGAATTTGTAATGCTCAGTATGAATTTTTGTTTTTTTCGGAATATCCCCTTCTTTCCTATTTTTAGTGCAACAATGAGGTTTGACATAAAATATTGCATTGTTTTAGGAATTTCTACTTTACCACACCAAAAGACAGGTGAAGAAGTGCCTCTGTACCTTTATCAAGACGAAGAAGGTAACCAAGCTATCCCAATTCCCGAACTCTTCTGGAAAGTCGCTTACGATCCAATCCATAAAGCCGGAATAGCATTATTGGGCGTAAATAATCCGTATCAAACTGACATAAGCAAAAGCATCATTTGCAAAGATGTATCGCAAAAAATCGGTTGGTTAAATTTTGATCTTACCAAAGTTGAATCGGGTTACATGTACGCCTGCAGCATACCCGATCTAAGGAATGTTATTAAAAATTTACCAAATTTTAAGGTTTCGAAATTGCTATCGTAATTATCTATTGAAAATCCTAATTAAGATGACTTCGTATTAATGTCTCGATATTATAATCTGATTTATTATAAAAAAATGTATAAACATCTTCTGATATTCGTATAGTTATATAAGATGATTGACTCTGTATTAACGTCTCGATATTACAGTCTGATTTATAATTTAAAAAATATAACAAACAATAATAAAAATTAAGCTCTGTTTAAGTGTTTTACTTTTTGTTTTTGCAAATTTCAAAGGAAAATATAAATTAAATAACATGCACCCTCAAAGTCAAACCATAAAGACACCTAGATACGTAACGCATACCCTGTTCTAAAGCAATTGTTTATTTTCTTGATTTAGAGGATATTTTAGATATTGTTGTTGTTCTTCCCATCTTAAATATAGACGGTAAAAATAAAATAAAAATTAAAAGACACACAACAAAAAATGCTAATCATGATAATTGTAGAACTATTGAATAAAAATCCTTGCAAGGAAACTACTCTTATTTGAGAGCCATACAAACAATTTAAAAGCAATTTAACCACTTTTTAAATTTTGATTCCGATTTTATACCTAGATATTTAAAAAAAAAGTCACTTTCCGCCAGGTTGATTTTTTTTTTGGTTTATCATCCTTTTTGCAGAGACACAAAAAATGCTTGCAATATCATTTTAGATTTAAAAAAAAGGTGGTTAAGCTAGATCCCGAAGTTTGTTGAAAAACACAAATTTCTGGTCACGTAGCCGAAATCCCTATACTGGAGGTAGCAAAACCGGACGACAGAAACTGGGATTTTTAAATGTTATAGACGTCTAGAAGCATATTATTTCATTACGAGCAAAAAAAGAAAAAATCAATAGATAAACTTTAAATTTTACAGGTTTCACGATAACTGCCACTACCGGGACATATTACATATTGCAGAGATAAGGGAGATAAAGATAGGAAACGCTCCTAAGAAGCACATGCTTAACAACGACCAGCTTGAATGCAGTTAACATCTGATTCACGAATAACGTAAAGGGAAATTTAAATACCTAATAAGGGAGGATGTAAAAAATATGCACTTTTGTAACAACCAGTAAGGTCTAAAGGACCACCGCATGTCACCAAATGTAACAACCAGGATAGTCAGACCATTTGTTTCAACTTAGCTACTGTTGTTAATATACTATTAAGGGATTAAAGCAGCACTGTCACCAGCCAAAAGATCCTGGAGTCCAGAATAAACATCCATTCACCAGTGGCACTTTAAAAACCCAGTTTGCTGCTTGTATCATCGTCATGATATAATTCATCGTCGTTGTAGAGTCAATAATAATTTTTTTTACGTAACTGAATGTAATTTTCTTTTTTTGTTTGGAAAGATTAATTTTAAAAATGTAAATCTTTCCATTTGGCATATTTTTGACTTGTTTTTTTTTTATTACACAAAAAAGAAAAAATGTTTTTAGTGTTTCCTGAAAACCTGGTAATTTTATGGTTTTATGGTTTGTTCCAACAACAATTTAAAACCAGGATTCTGCGCAGTATATAATTTAGGGTATTAATAATCTACTGCGCAGAATCCTAGTGGCAATAACTGGTTTCTGATCGTTGTTGGAAGAAACCTATGGTATCAGCTCCTGGACTAGGCGACTAGATTTTGTTATGTAAAATCCTCAAATTTAAAATAAAACTTTGTTCCATATTCAATGTTGTAATCCCTCCCCCCAAGATCCATATCTGGGTACGCCACTGGTACCTACAACTTTCTTTTTTTTATGACTATAACGACGTTTATTTAAATATAAGATAAGTGTGAATCGAATAACAGGAAGGATAAATTGGCAAGAAAAAGAGTTCAGCAGAATATGGAGGAGTGAGAGGAGAAAGTAGAGGAAAACAGCAAGACGAGACCAGGCAGGAGAACAAGAAGTATAGAAAGTCAGGAGTTAAAGCAGATAACATAGCAAAAGTTGAAAATTTATAGAATAGTATTGTTTTGTTATTTCTTATTTGTTTGAAATTTTTATAGAGAGTCTCAACTCAAAAAGCTGTAAGATATTGGAATGGTTTAACCTTATCGGGGTGGAACCATTGTAATATATAATATCACGCGACGATACTCGTACTCGTTACTCGTCAGCTGTAGGAATCAGAAGTACTGAGTACTCTAAAATGTTAAAATACTAGAAATTTTTCGAGTACTTTGAGTACTCGAGTACTATTTTAAGTACAATTTAATCGAGTTCTGCCCAGCTCTGATCACAATCATAATGTGGTATGAGCTTTTAAACAGTTCTTGCTTCTCTCCCTAAGATGGCAGTATGAGGTAATTACTTGATATACGATATACATCAAATCCTATACCGAACCATGCAATTTAATTAAAAATACACATGGTCTGGACTGGGATTCGAAGCCCAGCAGTCTCTGACACATAAACTTGCTTATAAATGAATATAAGCGCGTTAGACCGCTACACCACCGACCTGAGAAAGAAATCAATTACTTTGCTAGTGGCATAGGGTATGGGCAAGTTACACCTTAATCCCTTCTTAATTTTAAGCTATTGTCTTAAAACTTATTTAGACTATAATTTTAAATTTTTTGAAGGTTCTCTTTTTGTTTTAGATAAATCATGTACTCTTAAAAACTAATAAAAAATTAAATTTAAATATGAACCCAAAGTTCCCAACAAGAGTACATGTTTTATTTAGAAAACATCAAATAATTTAAAATTATAGTCCAAATAAGTTTTAGAGAGTGACGTAAAATTTAGAAGTTTTAATGGTGTTATTTATCCACTCCGCACGCCACTGGCATTTTTGTTTAATTGTATTTTTTTTTTTTTATAAAAGTATCTTATGTAGTGAAATTATAATGAGTACTACAAAAATTAAACCTAGCTGTTAATAATTTCTCATTTGTAACTATAACACCTTGAATCGGAAACGAGTAACATTTTCCCTAAAGTCTATTCCAATCCGAGATTCAGTAAATATACACAAAGGCACGCAAATGTAATTTTTGACCAGGGCCGCACTGAGGACAACATTTTATCGCAATGTAGTTTTAATGTATTTAAATTAAGAATTTTAGTGATATTGCTAAAAGTTGCACTTTAAGTAATATTTCATTAAAATTGTATACTTTTAGAACGCAGCCAGTCTTGAATATCAGATTTCCTTGATGCATTAGTTGGAATTTTTTTTCAGTTTCCTAGAATGATACGGGGCATTGTCTAATACAATAATACAGTTATCATTCAGTTTCAGAAAAATATTTTCAAACCACTTTTCAAAAGATTTTCCGTCCATTTCCTCGTGGTAGTCTCCGGTTTTTTTGGATTTAAAAGCCCACAGCGCCTCTGGAACAAATCCGTCATCACTTCCAATGTAGCAAACTATCAACCTTTTTCCTTAACCTAAAATCAAAAAGCATTTTTATGCTGTAGTATATACCCAGACAAATAAACCAGCTCAAGATGTCAGCCATCTTAATAATGCCGTGCAATGAAAAGACTGAATATCAACTGTTTCAAATGTCCCGATACAATGTACTTTTATTTATTTTTAAAGTATTATTCAATCAGCCGGATAGATACCAAAATTGTAAAATATACATATACCGAAAGTAAATAAAATAATACGACTATAATTTACCCGATGGATTTTTTAATCATGTTGAAATTCCATCAAAAAATGCCCGTCTTAAGGAATTGACAGAATGATCAACCCATATTTTTGATTTGGTATGTCCGGCATTTACCCAAGTCTCGTCTACAAAATAAATCTTTCAATTTTCATTCCTGTAGGATTTTATTTTTTGTAAATACTCTCTTCTCCATAGCACTATTTCATCAATGTCCATAAGCAAGCTTTTTCTTCCTCGTTTTTGATATTTGAAATTTAATGTTTTCCATAATCTATACCAGTGGTCGTCAACCTCTTAATGTGTTGAGCTACTTTGTTAATTTTGGAATAAACAGCGAGCTACCCACAGGGAAGCCTCGTAACGCAACGTAAATGAAATAATCCACAGTTAATTTATCATTATACGTATTTATTTTACTATTTAACTGGTAATACATAATACATAGGTACTAATAATAAACTAATAACAAAATAACTAATATTACTAGTACGTACTTGTTCATAGCTACATTCCTACCTACCAAACGAAGGTGTTTGAAAAATAAACACAAACTTTTATCCAGCCACAACGGCATGTCACGTAAGATTTAAAAATAGTTAATAATAACAACAAAAAAGTAATGCACTATCATGAACATAAATATTGAAAAATAAAAAAGCACATTCAGTGAGAAGGCTGACACTCAGACTCATCGATAATTTTTTTAATGTTTGCAGTATAATTTGATACAGCCATTTGAATACAATTATCCAAATGTTCATCTGTAAGTCGATTGCGATATTTGTTCTTAATAAACTTCATATTGGAAAAAGAAGATTCACACAAATAGGTTGAACTGAATAATGCTTTCACTTTCATTTGGTACTTGAGACTAACGATTTTAAGGCTAAATAATTTTGAAACTCAATTACTTCCATTTCTGTTGCAGCGATGTCTTCGCCAAAGTTCTGCATAACACAAGTTGCAAACTGTTGGATATCAATTTCCATAAAGGATGAAACAACAAACTGCGCTACTAAAGCTATTTCGTTGAAATCCTTAAAACGATTTTTGAGGTTATTCTTCAGGGTAGAAACTATTTCTACATGATATTTGCTGTCATAGGGTTCTAATGGATTTTGAGATATTTTTTCTGAAAGAATAGGAAAATGCTTGGCATCGCTGTTAATTAGGTTTTGTTCCCAAAACTCCAGCTTTTTGATCTATATCAGAAATCATTTCCGATAGTTCTTTGTCTCTCTCCTGATGCTGCAAATTAAGTTCGTTTAATTTCTCTGTAATGTCCACGAGAAAATCAAAATCTCTAAGCCAGATTGAATTTTCTAGTTCCGGAGTCGGTTCATCGCGTTGTTTGAAAAATTGAACTATGCCAGATAGGACATCATTAAAA